TTTTTGCGAACCAGGTCTGGTATGACCTGATCAAATGACTACCAGTTAGTAAAACAAAAAAAAAGCAGATCTCCTAAAATATTTTGTATTGACCTCCTAAACATTTACTTTTAAAATGAAGTAAAAACTATTTAAACCCTATTTTTACATATTATTACCATCAAATATTTAATTACATTTTAAGAAATGTTTTTTTGATTTTCTCCATCAAAAGATTATTATTAAATAATTTAGTGAACTCTTTTAATACAAGTACTCTATAATACTACTTTTAAAGATGGTGAAAATATTCATTATATGCCGTAAAATATGAATTTCAGCAGCCTGATTTCTAATAACTCAAATGATGTTCTTTCAAGATGCTTTTTGTTAGGATCATTTATGCAGCGCAATAATCTTTCTTTGTACTCTGGATGATTATTATTTTGCTTATACCTTGACCAATGTTGATAAAAATCTTGATGAGAAGTTTCGACAGTTAGTTCACAATAGGATGTGGTAGAAGACGGCGTGAATTTTAGGTGTTACGCTTGCACCAGTTATTATTAGGTAACACTTTTTGAAATTTTCAATTTTTTCAGCGAAATCTGGCTGAAAGATGTGTTCAAAGCAAGCCTTGACAACTAAATTGAAGCTTTTGAATGGTTCAATTACGCACACAATATTGGGAACCATGTTTGTCTCAGCAAGTTGCTGCAGCATATCCACATTTTTAAGAAGCTTTTTGCATTCATTTAATTCAAACTGGCCCCCGTGATATGAGCTCAGTTCAATGTGGAGGGTGACTGGCCACTTAACAGCTTCTATCCAAGCAGTTTTAAGGACCTTGAAAAGATGGTTGACAACTTCTAAAAGGAGAAGCAATTCCATCGGTGGAATGATTTCCAAAATAAGAACATTGACAGGGCTGCAGATGATTGGCTTTCAAATGACATTGCCAAACAGCTTTGCATTAGCAACAACCCCGTTAGATTGCTGAAAAGACTCAAGGTTTGAATTAATTGAGCCCAGTGTTTGCAAATTTCCAGATTTGGCGAGACAATTGTATATTTTTTGCTAATCTTCTAGCATGTAATGTTATAATTAAAAGTAAAAAATTTATTGTATCAGATTTTCTCATTTTATAAATGTTATATGATATAATCTATTAGGCTGGCGCAGATGTATTTTTAATACATTGTTTCCAGTTTAGGATGTTGAACGCTGGATCTTCTTGACTCAATGCGTGGGTATTGCTTGTGTCTCTATTTTTATGACTGGGGAACTCATTCTATTATCTCCTAATGAGGGTACAGCTCTAAAACTCAGTTTTATGGTTCTGAGGCCGGCTGGTAGTCAGGTTTCCCGAACTCTGTGGTAGCTCTCAGAGAGGCTGATTCCATCAACAGCCGAAAAATATCAGAGTACTAACAGTGCCATGTTGCGCATGGATGTGCAGAGGCCACATTTGGAGCCCTTTGTTACGGCTTAGGGTTTATTAATAGTAATGAGGCTATTGCTTAGTTGTTAAATAGTGTACTGAGTACTATCTATACTTGAGTCAAGTTCTTTATAAATTTAAAATGACTAAAGTACCTAAAACTAAAAAACACAAAAAACCATCGTCATCACCAAGTTCTCTAAACCTATCATTTACTAATATTTGTGGTCTTCGAAGTAACTTTTCTTCTGTTGAGTCTTATCTCTTGCAAAGTTCACCAGACCTACTTGCTCTTTGTGAGACTAATTTGAGTTCGGCTGTCCCATCTTGTGATCTTAGTGTTGATGGTTATCTTCCTTTAATTCGTAAAGACTCCAATAATCACATGCTTGGCCTGGGCATCTACATTCGTAAGAACTCACCCATTTGTCGTGAAACTAGGTTTGAATCTACAGACTATTCATTTATGTGCTTTCGTTTAGCACAACTTCACTCTATCGCCTTTCTCTTTGTACTATATCGCTCTCCTTCATCCCAAGATTGCACTATTCTTGATGTTATTTCTGATCAAATTGACCAAGCTCTCTCTCTTTATCCATCGGCCAATATCGTCGTTGTTGGTGACTTTAATGCCCATCACACCAATTGGCTTGGCTGTAGTGTCAGTGACTCTGCTGGCGTTAAGGCCCTCAACTTTTGCCTTTCTCAATCTCTAACTCAAATAGTCAACTTTCCAACTCGTTTTCCAGACAACCCTAATCACTTACCTTCTCTACTCGACTTATGTCTTGTTTTGGATCCTAGTCAGTGCTCAATTTCTCCACATTCACCCTTAGGTACTTCTGATCACGGTTTGATCTCTCTAAAACTATTTTCAAATTCTTCTACTTCATCAGAATCCCCCTATCATCGTACCACATACAACTACCTTAAAGCTGACTGGGACTCTTTCCGTGATTTTCTTCGTGATGGCCCTTGGGTAGAAATCTTTCGTCTTCCTGCTGACAAATGTGCTTCTTACATAACTTCGTGGATTCAGGCTGGCATGGAATCTTTTATTCCCTCTCGACGATTCCAGGTCAAGCCTCACTCTTCCCCTTGGTTATCCTCACATTGCGCTGCAGCAATTTCTAATCGAAACCGTTACTTCCATATCTATCAGCAAAACAATTCTCCAGAAAACAGACATCTGTTCACTATCGCCAGAAACCATTGTAAAAAGGTTTTGTCTGACGCCAAAGCTCGCTATTCCCAGGTCATTAAATCTCGTATCTCATCACAAAAATTAGACTCTCGAGACTTATGGAGAATCTTTAACAGTATCAATAATAAGGGCAAATCTGTTATTCCTTCTCTCTTGTATGGTTCAGACTTTGTCACCTCACCTAAAGACAAAGCTGAATTGTTTGCTAAGAACTTTTCATCAATATCATCTCTTGATTCCACTAGTTGCGTTTTACCTGACATAGCCGTCAAACAGGTTGATCCCTTGCTTGACATTCGCATCACTTCAGCTTCTGTATCTAAAGTAATTTCCTGCTTAGACTCTTCAACAGCTTGTGGTCCTGACAACATTCCTGTTGTAGTCTTGCAGAGGTGTTCTCCGGAGCTTTCATCCATACTTTCTAAACTATTTAACAAGTGCTTATCAGAGTCTTGTTTTCCATCATGCTGGAAAGCAGCATCTGTTATCCCTATTTTCAAAAATTCTAGAGAGCGATCTGATTCATCTAACTACCGTCCCATTAGTCTTCTTCCTGTCATAAGCAAGGTTTTTGAATCTTTAATCAACAAACACTTAATCTCTCATCTTGAATCAAATAACTTACTTTCTGATCATCAATATGGATTTCGGTCTTCTCGTTCTACAGCTGATGTGCTAACAGTAATAACCGATAGGTTTTACCGTGCATTAGATAGAGGTGGAGAGGTTAAGGCTATCGCACTTGACATTTCTAAAGCTTTTGATAAAGTTTGGCATGCTGGTCTTCTCCATAAGCTTTCCTCTTATGGTGTAGCTGGTAACGTCTTTAAGATTATTGAGTCCTTTCTTTCCAATCGTAATATAAAAGTTGTCCTCGATGGACAACACTCTTCTTTACATCCTGTAACTTCAGGGGTTCCTCAAGGTTCAATCCTTGGCCCTATACTCTTTTTAATTTACATTAACGATCTTCCAGATATTCTCACATCTAAGGTGGCATTATTCGCTGACGACACTACCATTTACTCTTGTCATGATAAGAAGCCTACACTCTCTGATTGCATGGAGGGGGTATCTGAGCTTGAAAAGGATCTCACTTCTGCTACAGCATGGGGCTCACAGTGGCTGGTGAACTTTAATTCAGATAAAACTCAATTTTATTCGGCCAATCGTTATCGTAATAATTTAGATCTTCCTATATTTATGAATGGTAATGTACTAGATGAGTCATCTACCATTCATCTTCTAGGATTAACTCTTACTTCTGATCTTTCTTTTAAACCGTATATCAAATCCATTGCAAAATTAGCATCTGCTAAGGTTGCATCTCTTTATCGAGCTCGACACTTTCTTACTCCAGATTCTATTCTCTATCTCTATAAATCTCAAATCCGTCCCTGTATGGAATACTGTTGCCACATCTGGGGCGGATCTTCTAATGATGCTCTTTCTCTTTTAGACAAGGTGCAAAAACGAATTGTAAACATAGTTGGACCTGCTCTGGCAGCCAATCTCCAACCTTTGTCACACCGTCGTAATGTTGCTTCTCTTTCTCTTTTCTACAAATACTATAATGGGCACTGCTCTAAAGAGCTAGCGTCCCTTGTGCCATCTACTAAAATTCATTCTCGTGTTACTCGCCATTCAATTAAGTCTCATCCTTTTTCTGTGACTGTTCCTAAGTGCTTCAAAAACTCTTATTCTTCTAGTTTTTTTCCTCGAACATCAGTTCTTTGGAATTCGCTTCCTTCATCTTGCTTTCCTGATTCATATAATTTGCAATCTTTTAAGTCATCAGTCAATCGTTATCTTGCTCTACAGATTTAGTCTTTTCTCTTCCAGTAACTTCCAACTCTTATAGTGGTTGCTTGCAGCCTTGTTGGAAGTGAAGATGTTAAAAAAAAAAAAAAATAATAATAATAATAATCTTTAACTTTTTTTAAAACAAGTATATTTTTTCAAAGCACATATATATGCTTTGACAAAAGATTTTTTTAAATGTTATCAAGTTTTTTGTTTATTTTAATTTAGAAGACAGGAAAAAATTTTAAAACTTTAGAAAAAAGTTAATTGTTAGATTGATATATATATATATATATATATATATATATATATATATATATATATATATATATATATATATATATATATATATATATATATATATATATATATATATATATATATTAGTATAAGAAAACTTTTGTTTAATTTTATGAAAAGTTATAAGATAACATATAATAATAACATAGTAAAATTCATTAAATTTTATATAGTCAAATGAAAGAAAAAATTTTTCAGTAAATATTATCTAAGAAAATATAATTTAAATTCATAAAGTAAATTAAAAAATTTTAAATTTATAAAACAAATTACCATCTTAGCCGCCAATTTTTTGGAGTCATCCCTGTCCCCCCTTGCTTAAAGAGATAACCATCACAGAGGACTTGAATATCTAAAACAAATAAAAATTTTGTTTCAAATAATAGCAGGTAAAAGTTGGTATTAAAGTATTTTTAAAATGTCTGCGATAATTTTTTAATAAAAAAGAATACTAAAGAAAGCAAAAAAAATATTTAGATTTATGATCAATTTTAGATTATGATTTATTTTGTAGCAGTTTTATTATAGCATTATTTTACGTATGATAGTGTTTAATGCTGCATCCGTGGTGCAGTGGTTAGAGTTCTGGTTCAGAACCAAAAGGGCAGAAGTTCAACACTGGTTCTAGCCTTTAAGCGACTGTTATTGTTTTATGGATTGACTTCAAATAAAGTATTTTAACCAAGTTATTTTGATTTCTTTATTTCCCACATGAAAGGTTTAAGTTATCCGAAGAAATTTGCTGAAGAGGGATGAAAAAATGGCTTGACTTGACAAAGTTTGAGTTATCTGAGGTTTGACAGAGAATTTTAATATTGAAAAAATTTGCAATAAAGAGGTTAAAGTAAATAATAAATATTTATGAAATTCACCTAACTTTTTTTATCTACACAAACAAAAATACAAAGTAACTGTTATACATATCTTATCTAAATTTCATTTTTTGTCTAATTTTCTTTATAGTAAATAAATAATAAATAAAAAAATCAGAAATAAAATTGTTTGCTTATGAATGTTTCTAATTTAAAAAATAATAATTAAAATTAATTACTTTGATGTTTTCTTTTATTTGATGCGAGTTTATAAATTTTTGATCTGAAGAAATCAAAACAAAAAAAAATCTCAACATTTTTTTAAGGTCAAGAAAGTATTTAAACTGAGTCATGCTAAAAAAGGATTGAAAATTAAATTAATGGTTTTGATGTTTCGAGAATAGGTTTTAACTATTTATGATAAAACTAGACATGTCTGATGCTTGGTTACCACAGTAACTGCAATCAATGGTAGAGCTGTAGGAAGGAGTAAAGTCACTGACTTATTTTAGCATAAAAATTCTTTTTATCTGCAGACAGCTACGCAGCTGACTACACAAGATGGTATGAGCCAGTTTTTGTTTATTGTACTGTATTGCATAGCTTAACCTAAATAAGAATTAACTTTATGTTTAACTTTATGTCTTGCGTTTTTAGTTTTATGTTATATAATAAACAAGTGTGAAACATGAAAATAGATTCAGATAAAAGTTATGAGTTTCTTTAGAAAAAATCAGCAAAGTTAGCTGCAAAAGTAACTGCTGTGTTGAAACTATTAACAAAGAGGATCAAATGGATATATTAAACATTTTCCATACCTTCAACACAAGAGCAGAGCAGGATTTTTTCTTACAATCTTTGATTAATAACCAAGAAATAAAGCAGAGATGACCCAGAAAGAGAAAAAGTTCTGAAAAAAGTCCTACCTTTAAGTAACATGTTATGGTGAGTTCTAATTGAGTGCATGTATGTTTTAAAACTTTTTTAAGTTTACATGCTGAAGCAGAAAAATTGAAAGATTGCAATGTTTGAAAACGATTGAGGAAAGCCAAGTTGATAATAGCCCGGAGAATAAAAGAGAACTTCATATAGAGCAAGCATGTAACATCAAGCAAGCGAAACTAAATTTTTAACTACTTTTAAGAAAATTATAATCTTTCCTTTGGGAGGGCACAAGTTAATAAATGCTGCACTTGCAAAGAACTTAATTTAAAGTTAATCAGTCCTCGTCTCAATGAGGCAGCAAAGCTCAATGTGCTCAATTTGAACTTGATGTACATAAATGCAAATTGAAAAAAAATAATTATGATTGATAAAAAATACAGAAAAAAGTTGTATTTTTTCTGTCAACTTTTTTGTAAAAGTTAAGTCAGGAAAACACGAGGAGAGAATTCTAAATACTAAGTTGTTGAAAAATACTATGTTGTTGAAAAATACTATGTTGTTGAAAAATACTATGTTGTTGAAAAATACCATGTTGTTGAAAAATACTATGTTGTTGAAAAATACTATGTTGTTGAAAAATACTATGTTGTTGAAAAATACTATGTTGTTGAAAAATACTATGTTGTTGAAAAGGACAAAAGTCATATTTTATCATTCTGTTTCAACTTTATGCAGAACATACAGATTCCAAAAATACCAGTGCAAGAAACCTTTTATCTGAGGCAACTTTCAGTAAATGTTTTATGTGTTCATAACAATAAAAAAAACAAAGCACTTGTTCTATTTACCATCAAGGCACCAAGCATTAAGGTAGAGCAGCAGTTTACCAAACCTCACTTATTCTCAGATAATTGTTGGGACCAAAATACCTAGGCTACCAAATTACCTAGGTTACTCTAACCATGACTGATTAAAAAAAATTTGAAAAGAATGAGCAATTTTACCCAATAGGAGGGCACTCCTTCTTACTATGCGATAGAGATTTTAGCATAATAAAGCAATAACTAAACCAACAAGACTGTACAGAACAGACCAAGCATGTTTTTTTAAAAAAAAAAAATTTCCATCTAAGGTTATTGGCCAACCTTTCATCGATTCTATAATGAATCATAGCTTTTCCTTTAGAGAGCAAATTGCCGAAACTTATGTTTTGCAAGTAAAGAAGCTTACCCTGTAGGAAATGTACCAATAAAGATTGAAAAATGGCAGACATAAAGAAACTACAACCCATTCCTGTAGATTTATAAGACTTTTATGCTGAAACTTATATGTTTATGACATGTTAATTTATATGAAAATGATGAAGTTGCTCCTATTGCTAATCTCAGACTAAAGAGATTAATTTGAAGATACTATATATTTCTACTAGTTATTTAATATATTTATAACTATATATTTCTATATATTATATTAACTGTATATATTTCTAAAACTAGTTATTTTTATATAGGAGTGAATATAAATATTGATTTCTTGTTTTTTTTTCCCATAAATAACAATTTTAAAACACATTTATCCGTCTTTTTATTCAAATTATGCAAAAAGAAGATAAGTCACTTTTTTTCATATAAAAGCATTGTAAATGTCATTAAGTGCGTTTCATAATAACCGGGGTAAAAAAATTAACATACAAAAATCACATCTTTTTGAATAAAAATGAAAATAATGCAAAGTTTTCTCAAAAATATGTGTTGTTAATGCTCTCCTCCTTTTAGCATGAGTCAATTCATTTGGCATAAGCTGATTCTTATAGCACAAGCCAATTCTTTTCTTTCTAAGAAAATTTTTCCTTTTCTTTTACTTTAAAACATATGTTTATTTTTGAAATTTTGTTATATACTCTAATCAATAGTCCATCCTATAATCATCCACCATTTAAATTTTTTAAAAGCTTTTTATTCGAATAATCTAAAAATTAAAATTCTAAGTAGTCTAAGTTAGATACAAGTAAAACTTTTTTTATTCAGTATGTGATGCATATACTATATAAATAATATTTAGCAATTTTCAATTGAATAACCACAAGTATTCAGTATGTGATGCATATACTATATAAATAATATTGCAAGCAATTTTCAATTGAATAACCACAATTAGCATATCACAAAGGTCTAGTACATAGGTCATGTACACATTTAAATCTTATAATTTTTGCATAATTAATTTTCAAGTCTTTTTTTTTTGCATAATTATTTTTCTGTTTGGAAAAGTAATCAAATGATTCTGAACATTTCGTATTATAGTTAAATTTATATCTGCTTTGATAAGTTCTGATTTCATTTTGTTTTTGAAAACATGTTTGACACTTGGATTGCTTACAGACAGTGCAAATATGTATCAAAATTTTTTATATATCTTTTTTCAAATATAATTTTTTCATAGAACTATTTTCGAGTTCAACCATTTTTGCAAATATGTTAGGCTTATACGTAAGTCTTTTCTGAAACAAAATAATCTGGTTTTATTTTAAAACTCATTAAAACTCATCTGCAACACCAAAAATTATAGTGTTTTCAATACTAACACCTTTCATAAAAAATTGTATACTTATAATGTTAAATGTATTTATATATGGTGTTTAAAATTATTATTTTTCTACTATTTGTAAATATCCAAGAAAATTTATCGTCTGAAAATATATACGATTGAATGATTATGTGCGCATTTTTAATTTTAAATATGTCTTGACGATGTTTGATATATATATATATATATATATATATATATATATATATATATATATATATATATATATATATATATATATATATATATATATATATTTGCTAGAAATAATTTGTTAAAATTTTCATATAAATGGAATATAAACTGCAACATTACTTTTATTTACGGAAACTATGCGGAGCTGAGTTGCTGCAACTTTTCCAACGTTTAACGGAAAAAACTTGTTTAACTTAAATGGAAGTATCCATTTATTTACAGATAGGTTCCGGCAGCTGCGATGACTAAACCTCCTGTTATTTAATGGAAAAACTCATTGTATTTTAGCGGAAAAAATCTGTATATTAATGAAAACTTCTGTTTACATGCGATGTATTTTTACGTAAAATAATGGGTAGCTTGGTCATCGGAAGCTGCTGGAACTTTTCTGTAAAAAACGCACTATTTTTTTTAACAGTGTAGAAGACTTAAGTTTTTTTTATTGCTTGTATTATATTTTTATAAAACTTTATAATTTTATTTACAAAAAAAAAAAAAAAATATATATATATATATAATTTTTTTTTTTATAAATAAAACTACATATTTTTCACAACTGGGTCAAATCATTTCAACCAATTTAAAAAAACTCACAACTCTGATTTTTCTCATTTTTACATATTGTTATGTGCATTATGTAGATAACATTATGTAGATAAGTTAAATTTGAAATTTCAGACTTCTAAGTACAACGATTGAGAAATTATAGCTTTCAAAACATGAAACAGTGCTACAGTTAGTTAATTTTAGCAATTTTAGGATTTTTTCCAAGATTGAGGAGGTCAGAATTTTTCACTAATTTAATACAAGTTAATAAAAACCACTTTTTTTAAAGAGAGAACTATCCAGAAAATAGTTCCGAGAAAAATGAGAC